CACGTGATCAAAATTTGCCATTTTCCCTGGGAAATGAAGGAAAGGTGGATTTGCTTAACAGTGGCATGATTCATTTAATAACGTCTCTGGTCATGAGTCAAGGAACATTTGTGTTTGAAATGACACAGGGATGAAATACTTTCCATCAAAGCAACCAAAATGAATCCACTTAGTCGAGAATCCCAAATTCTTTAGGTATTGTGGGTTTTCCAACACACTGGACCTGGCTGAATTGTTGACTATAAAGAAGTGGGTTTTCTCCAGCGCCATCATAACTTCAAACGGTCATTAAACAATTGTAAGTCAATGACAACTTCTAACAGTGAACAGATACACACTCTTATATGTACATATAATTAGCTCCTTTTGACAAAGACTCATTTCATAATAGACAACAAGCTACTCCCCCATTTTCACAAAAGCAGAAACATTATTTCATCTATTGCAGGGGTCTTCAAACTTGGCCCTTTTATGACTTGTGGACTTCAACTCCCAGAATTCCTCAGCCAGGCTGAGGAATTCTGGGAGTTGAAGTCCACAAGTCATAAAAGGGCCAAGTTTGAAGACCCCTGCTCTATTGGCTCTAGATTTTTAGTTTTTTTAGTTTTTTTTACTATTATGTATAACTTACAATTATCTACTCCAACTTTCCTCTCAGAAAGAACTGCCTTGGTCTTTGATGCTTGGATCTTGAATTAATTTGCATGGTTCTTTATTTGTAACCTGGTCTTCCTCCCAAAAGAGCTGGAGAGATCTATTAAAAGAGAACAATACATTCTTTAATTAAAAGCAGGGGAAGCAATAATTTAAAAATCTGTCATAACACAGGACACTAAGAATAACGCAAATGCTATAATTAAAAGCAAAGTTCATTCCAAAAGATAGTCTGAAATTTGACTGAGTGTTTGCAGGATATAATCATGAAATTCAAGATGGAGGTGAACTTCAGTCAAAGCTCTACCTGTTGGATATATGTCTTAAAGCCTTAATAACCGCCAACAGTACTGATCCCTTTGCAGAATTCTTTAGATATGCTAGATAGCTGGGGTAGAGGAGTACAGAAATAACCTTGGAGAAAATATGTGGTGATCATGAGCTTAGCCTGGGAAAACAGGATAGCAAAGAAGCTCAAGATTGCATTGCCTTGATTCTCTTTGGTATAAAAAGGAGGGAAACATAAACAATGTGGACTAGCAGTTAAGGAATCAAGCCAAAAACCAGGAGGTGGTGAGGTTTAGTCCCGCCTTAGCCATAAAAGCCAACTGGATGACCTTGGGCCAGTCACACACTCTCAGACCAACCCACCTCACAGGGTTGTAGTGGGGAAAAGAGGAGGAAAGAGCATTCAGTATGTTTGCAGCCTTGAGTTATTTATGAAAATAATAAAGGGATATACATAAACAGTCATTCTTTCAAGATTCTATTATGGCGGTCTCTTTTCAGTGTTTCTCAAACCTAGTGACTTTAAGAAATGTGGACTTCAACTCCCAGAATTCCCCAGCCAGGCTTAAAATTGCTGAGCTTGACCTATCACAATGCAGTAGAGCAGGGGTCTCCAAACTTGGCTGGCTGAGGAAAAGTCACTAAATGAATGGTTGTAAGTTGAGGACTGCCTGTACAGGAGAAGGAAACGCCTGGGGAAAGTGCAAAGCAAATTTAATCTGTCCGCCTAGGAAATATCCTAGCCCCCTCCAAGATGGCTGCTTGCTATACCCCCTCCCCAATACAATACAATATAATGGACTGTTTTCCTCTTCCCCCTCCCCACGTTGGACCAGATAACAAAGCAGCTGCTGTTAAAGGCATTTTGCAGACTCCCTTCACAGCCCACCTGTGCAAATGACCTGTGTGTTCCAGGCACACACTTCCATTTTCTTAGGTCCTGAAGGCCATTAATTTCCACTCAAGGGACAGGTATTCCCCCAGCCAGGTAAGGGAGACTCATACCACCCCCCATGTCTGGACCAACAAACAACCTCAGTTTTAGCTTGAGCATCATATAAACAGAATATTTGGACGTCTTTCAAGTCGTCACTGGCCCTTTTAGGTTCCCAGGTTCTTGTTTTCTTTCAGCTTCTCCAATTGTGAGGAGTCTTCTCCTGTAAGCTGTGATTCAGGCAACCTCAATTTTTTTTCTATTATTTGGTCCATTTGGACTTTGGGGAATGAGAAGTGGAGGTTTTCCCCCAAGGGCTGCTAGGAAGGCTGGTTGGTACCCTCACAAAATGGCTGCCAGGATGGATATGGCCGGTTTCCATTTTCCCAGAAGGCAAATTAGGTGAAATGGCTTCCTGCCCTCCATTCTAGCCATGAGGGGTGCTTTCCTTCATTTTAATGTCCTGCTTTTTAATTGAGAAGGGGAGCCACTTACAGCAAATGTAAGGAAGCACCCTATTATTAACTTTTTGTGGTACTTTCTATTTGCTAAGATATATGTGGCCTACCCACACCCTTGTGAAGGAAAGCAACTTTTCAGATTTTATATAATAAATAATGACAAATGAAGAGGAGGTCTGCCAGTTTGCCTGAAATTATTTATATAATATTTCTGTTACATTGTGACCAACTCTAGAAAGATATTTACCTACAGCTAACTTAAGCAAGATTCCCTTTATAACACCAAGATGGAGAATTAAGATAACAACTCACAAGAAGGATTCTGAAATTGGTATGAAAGTTCCTCCACCTTCAGAGCATTTAGCTACTCTATTGCCATTTCTCTGCTTATTTATTTGGAAGATTTATAAGCAAAATGTATGCACAATTCACCTAGTTCTCTAAGTAGCTTGTTTGCTTCACTTAAAAAAAAATAGAGTTCACCTTAAAACGTGAAACCAGAAGCTACAACAGTAGCAAAGCGTAGGATATTTATTATGTGTTTGTTGATTTATTAGACTTGTATCTCACTCTTCACTCAGAACTGAAGGCAGGATATAGTGAGGTTGTGCAATGTTTCAAATTGGATTCTGTGTTGTGGGTTGTGTGGGATAGTACAAGTAGACCTTGCTTAACAATGGTAATTGGGACCAGAAATTCTGTTGCTGAGTGGCTCAATCATTAAATGCAACTTTATATCACTTCACCTGCAATTCCAGCAGTTACTAACTTAACAATCGCAGGGATTCACTTAACAATTTGTGACAAGAAAGGTGGTAAAAGGGAGCAAAGCTCATTTAACAACTGCCTTGCTTATTTATTTATTTATTTATTTTATTTATTTGATTTGTATCCCGCCCTTCTCCTTACCGGACTCAGGGCGGCTGACAGCCTTATAAAACCAATATTACAGTAGATATCAATTTAAAACCAGATTAAAAGGAAATATTTGTAATGGCCTAATACTTAAAATTCCCTTAAAAACCCCACTAAAATTCCCTAGGCCAATCCCGCTTGTTGGAAAAGCCATGTCTTTAGGGCGCGGCGGAAGGAGGGGAGATCCCTGAGCAACAAAACATTTGGGCTCAGTGGTGGTTGTAAGTTGAGGACCACACCTTACAAGTGCCAAAATCACAACCCTGTGGCTATGGGGATGGTGCGACAGCCACAACTGAGAGGCACAGTTGTAAATCCCACCAGTTCAGCTCTGTTGTAACTCTGAACTGTCACTGAACAAGCGGTCGTTAAGTGAGACACTTGTACCTGTTTGCAATTATTCAAAGCAGTTGTAGAGGGCCCACTGAAATGGGGGCTGCTTTAAAGATTTCCACCGGGGTGTTTTCTTTCAATACCTGTTAATTCCAGAGGATGTTTCTAGAATCTGATCTCAAGATTCGTACCTTGAGGTGTGAAGATTTAGCATAATCTCCTGCATGCAAAATGTGAATTTTTCCAAGGGGCTTGGTTGTCCAGTTTAGGAAGAGAAATGCAGGTCTAAATAGATAGGGCTCTGTGGTCTGTGGCTCGTACAGTGTAGCTGCTTTTAATAAAGACAGATTTTCTGCAGAGATTCATTTTAAAAGGGAATTGAAATTTAAACAGCCAACGGGTGTTTTTTTTTTCATAGACATTGGTGATCTGCCAATGCATTTGGAAGACTTGTCCAGTTGGTCGCTATTTTTTAGAATCTTGTTTTCCAAACATGGAAACTCTACAATGTGTGGACTTCAACTCCCAGAATTCTGGGAGTTGAAGTCCACATATCTTAAAGTTACCACGTTTGGAAAACACTGCTTCAGAAGCTGGTTTTCTTCAACCCCAAAACGTTTTGCTTCTCCGTAAACCCAGAAAACTAGCCTTAGAATTTGAGATTGTGGCTTTGGACTCACATCAGCAGGGACATTTCATTTTGTGCGAGTTTTGCCCTGTGAAGGATCCGGTTATAACTCCTACGGCTTTATAAAATGGACTCTTCACTTCAACGATTTTGGCCACATTCCTTGCGATCCAAAGAGAACTGCTCCTACGTTTCAGGTGACCGAAATAGGCAGGTGACCAGAGGGGAGCCAAACACAAAATATCTGGAACCAAAAACCTTTGCTCATCAACGGTGGGATTCAAATAGGTGAACAACCGGTTCTCTGTGTGGGTGCCGCTTCTGGAAGTCCATTCTGGGCCTGGGCAACAAACAATTAGCTACTGAACTGGTGCAAACTGGCTGAATCCCATCACTGGAGCTGGTGCATTTTGGACAGGAGTCTGCATTCCACCTGCTGATAAAGGACTCCTGAAATAGAGGCGAGAGAGAGACAGAGAGAGAGGGAGGGGAAAAAAAACCCAGAACAGGTTAAGGCGCTTCCAGAAATTAAAGTTAAAATTGAGAAAGGGAGTTTCCCTCCTGATCTCTCTCTGTCTCCCTCCCTCCCTCTCCAACCAAACATACACAAACCCAATCAGGTAGATGCAGCTGGGCGTGGATTTTATCCCAGGTCCCACCTCTACCTTTCCTGCAGGCCCAATGGCCTCGCCTGTTGGGAAACTGACTCAGGTCATGTGCTTCCACCGAGGGGCAGGTAACTTAGGAAAAAGAGAGCTAGGAAAAAAAAGATTTTATTTTTTTTTAAACCTAGGCTGGGTTCCTGCCATGATGTCAGAGGGAGACAAACGGACTGCTTGTTAAATTTGATCCCCCCAGTTAGACCTGGGGAGAAAGAGTTCACCTAAAATCCAGGTACAACGGCAAATAGATAACACTTTTTCCCCCCCTTTATTAGATATTATTTGAATCTTAGCTACCTTCACCCTGTTCCCCTTCCCCATAGTTCTGGCTTTTCTGAGATTGTCCTTTTTTATATCTTCCCTTCGATCACTTGGGGAAAGGGGTGCCCTTTATTTGTAAGTTTTTTGTGTTTGGCTTGTTTTATACTTTTTCTCTCTTTCTTTCTCTCTCTCCTTTTTTATTTTTTATTTTTTTTCTTTCTCTTCCTTCTCTCTTCCTCCTTTCCCCCCCCTCCTTTACCTCTGCTTTTGATTGTAGCTGTTCCCCCCCCTCTGTGGTCATGACGGCTTCTTCTCCGCACAGTGACTGTTTGGTGGTCTTGTTTGGGGCAACCGCTGGTGGAAATGGGGCTAAGCTGGGGTCCGATGAGAGGGAACTAATTCTGTTGGTGTGGCAAGTTGTGGATCTTCCCAGCAAGAAGGTATGACTTCCCAAACTCTTCATACGCTGTTGGGCAATTTGCAAAAGAGAGGAAGAAAAAGGAAAGAGAGGGGAATGCATTTAACCAAGATCCCTCTTCTCTCTCTCTCCTTTCAGCCATCCTAGTGGGACTTCTGCTTGAGCAAACAGGGCTGGAATAAGCTTTGCTTTTCTCCCCCCAAACTTGGCTTGGGGGTGGTGGGGGGCTGGTGGGATGGGAGAAAGCAGGGAGAAACTATTAAGTTTGGACCAGGGTGCAACCAATTAAAGCTCAGTTCAAACTTTCCCCTTGAAATTGACGAGGAGAGCCAAATCCAGATTACAAAAATCCAGATTACTCAAGAATTAAATCTCCTTACCCCCCACCCCCTTGTTCTCGGTCAGTAGAAACATTTTAGAGACTCTAAAGACTTCTTGTAAAAACTGACCTTTTCACCGTGTTTGGGATATTGGAGATGTACCTTTTTGTTTCTGTGTTTGAAATCAGGCCTGCATGTTTGCTTGGGAAACCTGTCGCTTGATACGGGGGAATTAAACTGGAGTGGGAGGAAAACCTGTTTTTATGCAACCCCAAAGAACTAGGTCCAATCCCTCTGTTTACTCGCCCCCTCCCCCGCCCCAAAATGAATTTCAGATGAATAATTTGAAAAAAAAAAAACCCCACAGAGGGAGGGTCAAGGGCTGCCCCTGGGATCCCTAAACCGAGTCCATTCCGATGGGATCATCTGATTTTTTTTTCTTCTCCCCACTAGAACGATGCAAGAATTGCAGCCGGGTCTCTTAAAAATAATCTCTATTTTTATGGGAAGGCTGTGAGTCTCCTTGAAGGCAACGAGATGGGATGTTTGCGAAATTAGCAACTGCATCTCGAGCCATCCCTTCCCATTTCGATGGGGCCAGCTGTGGTTCTAGTCTCCTTTTAATACACATTATTTTTTTACAGTCGCTCCATCCAGTTCCTGGAGTTTTACTTTTCTCTTTCCCCCTCCCCCTTTCCCTCTGCTCTCTTTGTTAAACATTTTCAGGTAGGGACGCTGCACAAATGCCTGGTGAAGGCAGACAATTTGGAACTAAGCGAGCCTTGCCGCGAACTGACAGGGTTGACCCCCGACAGCTTGACCAAAGCAGAGCCTCTGGACCGGGTTCTCCAACAGGTGAGGGTTAACTTGTGAATGCAGGGAGCAGGGTTCCAACTGATGCAATCAAGCAAAGAGGAGACTTTCGCTTTGGAAATTGTCAAGCAATTGCAGTTGCTCACCCCTGCCAAGTAAAGCATGTTTATTCTACACCAAGGCTGGCTAGCACCATCTGCCACGTGTGCGGCCACATTGGATGGGGCCTGCAGCGGGCTGAGTTCAACCAATTAACCCTAAACCCATGCGCCGTTTGCTTTCCTTTCTTTTGAACCCCACCGTGGCGTTTGCAGCCAATCGGAACTGCAGTTAAGCCAGGGTTTGGGAATGTAGCCAACTGAGGTTTATTCAGTAAACGGGGTTCAATCAAGCCTAGCTTAGTTGTGTGGAATGATCACTGTCGGTTTAGTTGACCAGTGATGAATGCTAGAAGTTGGGTACAGTTAGAAAGTGCAAATGTGAGGACAGTCCGTAGCTAAAACATCTCTCCTTCACTATAAATTACTAGTTTACCACCATGTGCCCGGTCTTTCATCATCCTAGGGAGTGTCTCTTTGGTGTCTACCTGATATGTACCAACTCTTTTGTGTTACCTGTCAACCACTCCTCTATGACTTGTCCAGAGAATCTTTTTTTTGTTATTATTGAAAATCCTGGCTTGGTATTGTGTGAATGTAAACCAGTGTGTGAGCTATTTTAAAAACTTGGATGTCCTAAGTCATTGCTAAGAATGATTATGACTGGAACTTTCGGTTAGCAGGTTCACGTTGACCCATTTAGATATAGATGAATATATTAGTTGCTTAACTAATTAGTTGTTGAACACAGCGACAAATCTGCACGTGCGAATTCACTTGGAAATTTTTTAGATGAGTTGTGTGGCAGTTTGGTTTGGAAGCTTTCAAGGATTGCAATAAACTTCTGAAACGTGTAACGGAAATTTAGCATCCTCTGCAGCAGGGGGCCTTCAACCCCTGGGCCACGGACCAGTACCGTTGTGTGGGGACTGTTAGGAACCGGGCTATGCAAGTGGCAGGCAAGTGAGTAAAACTTCATCTGCACACATGTGTGATCTACGTTGCGCACAAAACCATCCTCTCCTTCCCCCTGCCCCCAGTCTTGGGAAGACTATTTTTCTTCTCAAACAATCCCTGGTGCCCGAAAGATTGGAGACTGCTGTTCTGCAGCAAAGTTGTACAGGAGCCGGACCACAGCAAGATATCCCAAAGCATATGGGAAATGCTTAATTAAGCTCAACACATTTTAATAGTGTTGATTTGATTTAATCTCCTTGTTTTTAATGTTGACTAGCCTTTCAAGGTAGGCCCGATTAGGAAAAAGAGACCAGGTGGATTTCCAAAATGTTACTCTATTGATGTGGCATTGAATAGCAGAATTTCAGAAGCTGACAAGAGTTCTCTCTGTCCCCAAATTGAATCAAGGCCAAGGCTATTCCGAAATTCTTGTTCACACTTCTTGCTTTCCCAGGACTGAGTAGCTGTTTCCCATTCCTTAACTCAGGGGTCTTCAAACTTGGCCTTTTTATGATCTGTGGACTTCAATTTCCAGAATTCCTCAGCCAGTATGCTTGGCTGAGGAATTTTGGGAGTTGAGGTCCACAAGTCATAAAAGGGCCAAGTTTGAAGACCCCTGCCTTAACCAATCCTCAAGGTCATCCCTGCATTCCTTTACAAGTAGTTTCCATCCTCCAAAAACATTAAACGTGAGAAATCAGATCTAAAGCCTTTGGGGACAACATCTGTCCTGAGAGTTTTCTTGGAGAGTTTCTCCGAAATACTCTTCTACTTTGAAAAAAAAAATCAAAAACAAATTCTCTTTTGGTAAATTGAATGATAGGAAAAATGCAAGGTGATTGTTAAGATGTTGACAAATGGATATATATATTTTTTGTGATCAGGATCCTCTTTTCTTCTGTTTTTCCTGGAAATCTGACCTGTGGATTGCTGTCTTGAATTCAAAGCTTGCCTTTAGAAGTTGTGAGTGCTCCATCACTGGAGGTTTTCAAGAAGAGACGGGACAGCTATCTGAAATGATACAGGTTTCCTGCTTGAGTAGGGGGTAGGACTAGAAGACCTCCAAGGTCCCTTCCAACTGTGTTATTCCATATTCTGTATATATTCTATATGAAATTGTCTTCTTCTCACCCATTTTTGTTGGTAACTCCGTATGTTCCACCAAAGCCATCTCTGTGATAATCCAGGTGTTGCGCTAATCTAGTAACTTTACTCTTTGCTTTAATCTTTACAGGGGCTAGAACATGCTGTATTAAAATAGAACAAAAGCAAATTAAGTTGAGGACTGGATAGTACCATTCAGAAGTGCCAGATGATATTTTTCCTAATTCCCCAGTAGCATAGTGGAGATGCCAATCTGGCCTTTAAAACATGGCTCTGTCATCTGGCCTAGGGATCTCATGTTACAGTAAAGCTGGCTAGATGTTTTATATGGTAATTAATTGGATATGAAGGGTCCTTGGGGCTCTCTGAGCTTGGTGGTTTTCTTGCAGACGTTTCATGACCCAAACTAGGTAACATCATCAGTGCTATCAGGACTAGCACGGATGATGTTACCTAGTTGGGTAATGAAATGTCTGCAAGAAAACAACTAATCTCAGGGATCATCTGAGCTAGAAGTATTCTCCTTTATTGTTAATTGAATATCCTTTTGTATGCTTTTCCACCGTCTTGTTTTTCATCATCTTTTTAATTTAAATGAATTGCTTGTAATGTTTTTTAATAGATTGTTTTATTATACACGCCTATGAGATGGATGGCTGTAGAAATCCAATTCAGTAAATCTTACTCATCTAGGAGACACCAGGTTGAAGAAGGCTGACCTGGATTTTTAGGAAGTTGGATTGCATGCTTGGTAGAATACCACGTGATTGGTCTGTTCTGGCTTAGAACAATGCATGAATTCGCTCGGTACTTTTCTTTCTGACGTCCTTGCGGGATAACATTCCTCCTTTTCTGTGGGTTATTCTAAACACGAGGAATAGCTGGCGTAGCTTGGCTAACTTAGTTCAAACCACAGGTGAACGTAAATATTTGCGAACCCTTTTTCTTCCTATGTGTCTTTCCATGCTTGAGGCTGGAAACTGGAGGAAAAAATTGGAAGTAGATCAATGCAGTTGCAAAGCTTTGTTGAATGTGGGGTTGTTGTTTTTTTTGCATCTCCTTTGAATCACTGCAAGTGGGTTTGCTGAGGAGGTAAACCGGGTTACTAGGTTGCTGTTTCTTTGACAAGTATCTGTCTGGAAAATAGACCTGAATGTGCTGTGTTGTTTCAAGGCTGCTGGTTTTTCTCTCTCTCTCTTTATGCTGAGCTGAATCACCCTTAATTATAGGAGAACAGAAGCCTCTGGAAAAACTGAAGTATTTTGAGGGGGGGAGGGAGGGAGGGAGGGAGGAGCCATTAGATATGATATATTTCTATTCTTTCACTCTCCAGTTGGATAAATTTCACGAAAAACCAGTTAAGACTGCAAAGTGAGTTTTGGTGGTTTGGAAATTATTCCAAAATGAGTATTCTGGCTGCAAGTTAGATCTTGCCCTGCTTCTTTCAACCAAAGACAGCTGAAGCAGCTTAAATACACTTTGCCGTTCTTCTGTCTCCCTCCCTCCCTCCCTCTCTCGGTCACACTTCTTAAGCAACACACCGTAATTACGTTCAATACTTTTTATTAGACAGTATCCTGTTATCACCAATTGCAACTTAGGTTTAATAATAATAATAATAATAATAGTAAAGTTGGAAGGGACCTTGAAGGTCATCTAGTCCAACCCCCTGCTCAGGCAGGAAACCCTATACCATTTTGGACAAATGGCTGTCCAGTCTCTTCTTAAAAACTTCCAGTGTTGGAGCATTCACAGATTCTGGAGGCAGGTGGTTCCACTGGTTAATTGTTCTCACTGTCAGGAAGTTTACCCACCCTTAGCGGATTTGTCCACCTTCCGCCTGCTGTACCAAGTCACGGATTGTTGTAATCGTGAATAATGGGAAAGGCCACAGTTGGCTGGGTACACAAATTAAATTATGCTACGATTTTAAAAAAAAACAAAACAAGTTGTACTGCACAGAAGAAGCCCCAGTGAATAAGCTAATTAATGCATGATGAAAATCACAAACTGTAAATCATTCTCCCCCCCTGCCCAATCCACTTCAAAGGTTAATGCAGTCTTGAAAAAGCTGGCCTTCTCTGGCCCCCTTGCTTTATAAGGCCACCGTGACTGAGTTCACACATTTAAGTTCTTAAACGTAGCTTGTTGAATCAGCCAACTAGCTTCACAAATCGTTGCATCTATGGGTCGTGGTTTTCAAACCCAGATTGCTGAATTCACATGGACAAACTCCAGGCATCTTTGGGTACAGTGTGATATGTACACCGAGGTGATTCAAGACCATCTATTGTCTAACAGAAATAAAACGGACGTTCTTGACCATTTCAGGATACCTTTGCCAAGTCTGAAGAACAGAATCAGGGGGCTGTGCAAAAGTCAGTGTGCTAAAGTAAGGGCAGCTTTTAGGAATACAGGTAGTCCTCGTCTTGCAACCACAACTGAGCCCCAAATTTATGTTGCTAAGTGAGGCATTTGTTAAGTGAGTTTTGCCCCATTTTACGACCTTTCTTGCCACAGTGGTTAAGCGAATCACTGCAGTTGGTAAGTTAGTAACCTGGTTGTTAAGTGGATCTGGCTTTCTCCATTGACTTTGCTTGTCAAAAGGTTGCAGAAGGGGATCACATGACCCGGGGACGCTGCGACTGTCATAAGTATGACTCAGTTGCCAAGCATCTGAATTTTGATCACACGATCACGGGGAGGCTGCAAAGTTTGTGACTGTGAAAAATGGACATAAGTCACTTTTTTCATAGCCATTTTAACTCTGAACGGTCACTAAGTGAACCGTTGTAAGTCAACGACGACCTGTACCAATAGAAGACAATATTTGTAGCTCAGGGTTGAACAGTGGCGTCCTTGGTGCCCTCCGAGCTTGGTTGTTTTCTTGCAGACATTTCATAACCCAACTAGGTAGCATCATCAGTGCTAGAAGGGA